CTTACTGACTGAAGTTGCCACCGTTGGTGAGGGACACTGACGGTGCCTGTCAGTTACAGGTGGAGACTGAGGAAGGACGTGTTGGTTTGGGATTGGTCAGAAGTGGCCTGTCGGGATGAGTGAATGGACTCCCAGGAGAGAGAAAGGCTTAGGAGCTTAGAGAGCTGGACTGCTGGAGGTGAGTGATGAGGAGGAGTGGCCAGATGAAAGATGGACCCGACCAGCCAAGGAGACTAAAAGATGCCACTGCAGGGGTGGACAGAGAATCAAATTTGGGGTGCCAGAGAACGGTAAATGTCCCAAAGGAGAGGGGACTCAGCAGTGTGGCAAAGTGGCAGAGAGTTCAGAGACTGACCAGAAATAAAACCGTTGCTAATTCTAGTTAATAAATTGAAGGTAAGAGAGGTTGACTTTGCCTACTCTGTGGTGGTCTTTTTGTTGGGTTTTCTTCTATCTTCTTAAAACCGTGGGTTTTAGTCACTCTGTTTTCTTGGTCATTTTCAAACACTGCTCAGAATACTTTTTCACCCTGTAAGTTATGTTTTATGAAAACTTGCAAAGCAGTCAGTCTTCCAGCTTGCCCTCTAACGTCTCTTTGTTTTTGATTCATATCATCTTCAGCACAGTTGCCTAAGCATTTGGTTCATGTAACCATTAAAAACGAATGAACAAAACTGCTGTAAAATAAACAAGACTGCAGTATTTTATGCAGTAATCACTTGCCAAGTCTCCCCTTTGAAACTGAAGCCATTTTTGTGTCATTGAAGTAGAGTAGAATGATCTATACACAAGATTTCTGTTGGGTTTATGTATTAAAACAGATGAAATCATTTTAAGTAAAATGTTAAAAGCATTTACTTCCTAGTTCAGACCAAGCCTGATCCAAAAAATATACATCATTCATCCAAATTTTTAAAAAATGAAACAAAACTGAGTTTTGATTCCCAATCCATTTGCTTTGTAAACCTGGAAAGACTTTTTCAGATATAAAAACTCAGCCACTAATGTAAATCATGTCTCATTTCCTTCCACTTTGCGCAAGTTGTTTTCCCATGACCATTTCACTCTTCTTGTATTTTAAGGCTTGGCTTATTGGCACTCACTCACCACCTTCTGACTTGTATGTTACCAATACTGGCCACCAGACCTCTCACTTCTAGTTACCTGCCTCGTAACCAGACGCTTGATTGGTGTTTCCCATCAACATTAAAGTACGCTTTGTTTCGTTTGGGTTTCGAACTAATTAGAAGTAGAATTTTCCTTTATTCTTGGTCTACCTGACTTTGCATTAAATCATTGAGTTCAATTTGTCCTCAAAACATCTGTTTGGGTATTTTTTAAATCTCTTTGTTAGATTCAGCTGAAATTGTTTTTTCTCCTGTTTTCTATTATTTCATGGGTGCCCAGCACAGCACCGAGCCCAGATGGATTCTTTATAACGGCTGTTTGACCACGATTTGAAGGAGGGAGTGAGGAGATCCTTTTTTTTCCCTCCTGCCTACAGCTGCTCTCAATATGGCTCATCATGACTGAAGGGAAATGAATAAAGATGAGTTATTTGAACCGAAAATCAGCCACAGAGCAGAAGCAGTTCATACTCCCCAACCCGTCCTCAAATCCAGTAGGGGAAAGGAAATCATTGCCATCGTTTATTTATTCATATATTTTTAATGGTGGCAGGATTATTTTTTAAATCTTGTACCTTTGAATAGTGGCCACTTGGCGCATTTGTGAAAGGCCATATGGTTTCAAATGAGATTCCCATCACATTCTGTGCATTTGAAACCATTTACGCTGAGCCTCTTGGCACGCCCAGCACTTGGAGCGCGAGCAGACGCATGAAAGAGCTGTAGACAAAACTGGAGAACATGCAGATAGCATTTAAGGAAATGTTAGCGGTTTGACTTGCCATTTTTGGATCGTCCTTCATTTGGATGATACAACCTGTATTTTATTTTAAGCAACTGCCATGTTCATATTTGGGGCATTACATGTCTCCAGCGATTAATATCTACCCTCGTGACTTAGGTATCAGTAAGAGCTCAGAAACATTTCAAACAGGGAAACATGTGGAAAGAGACTTTTGAATTTGAGTCCAGATTAGGGTGGAAGACTAGGTTCATCAGAGAAGTTGGTAAATCACACGCTTCGTGTTTTCTCTGTAAGAAAAGCAGTTTCTAACTAAAATGGCCTCGATGTTCCCTGAGATTTGGGGATATGAACACCTAAACTTTTGCCACAATCAGCTTTTATTCATGACAAGCAAGAGGCTCCCTGTCAGAAGCCACATGGTGCATCTAGGTTCATACAGACCCAGGTTCAAATTCCAGTAACATCATTTCTTGCTTTGTGTCCATAGACAAGTCCCTAAATCTCTCAGAGGCTTGTTTTCTCCATTTCCAAGTATGGACGGTAACACTGATCCTATAAAGCCGTTGGAGAACTGAGAGAGGAGAGTGTTCAGTGCCCCCTATTACCTGAGAGGCAATAGGGCACTGTGGCATGGCCATTAGGGACTCTGGTTTCGGAGTCCACTGTCCGGGCTCTGACACTTCCTAACTCTGTGGCCTTAGAAGCATAGCCTGTAATCTCGCTCATATCTCATAGCGCTGTGGTGCGAAGTGATGGACATGGTCCCTGCGAGGTGCTTAGACTTGTTTCTGCACAGTATTTGGAAAGTACTCAATATTTTCATATGCTGACCTTGCAGAATGGTCAGGCAGATGGGCATTAATGCCTGTGATTCCTGGCACGTCACGAATGAACAATAACTAGAGGCTGCTGTCCCATCATCCAAAAGTAATCCAGTGGGAGCCCACCTCGCCGGGAGTGCACTTGATTAGACACACCTGGCTCTTCACTCTGACGTTCATCATGGCCACACAAGCGCCTGGTCTGGCACTTAACATCTGTGATGCTACGATCCTCCCAAGCCATGATGAGTTTCACAGCTCCCAAGAAACTTTCTCTCACAACAGCCATGTGCCAGACACAGAAGTCTTGGCCATCCAGTTATGCTCTGACACTTCCAGACTTGTTCCACTGGGGAAGTGGAATTGGTCGCGACTTACATATTAATGAAATATGAAACATTCTCTAATCCCTGAGTAGTTTTTTTGTCTGCAAAGTAATGTGCCCGTCCCATGATAAATTACATTATATTGAAAATGCTTTGGAAAAGGAGGACTGTGAAAGGCCATTCCAGGGCAGGTGTATGAGTGAATGATCCTTCTGACCTGACAGAGGTAAAGAACTGATGGCCACAGGGTAGACATCTTTCTTCAGCTCCGAGATAGTCAGGTCATTGCAGGGGAGGTGAGAGGGAGTATTCATGTCCTGACTATTTGACACAACTCAGAAAAATTATGCTTTTAAAACTTCAGGGCTGCAAAAGAGAATTGACATTATGTTACATTTTCAATATGCCTTTCCCAAAGAGGAGAAAAACTTTTAATATCTGTAAACACTTTCTTTAATAACCAACAAATGTGATGTGCTGCTGATAGAGAAAACAAAAAACCAAAAAACTCCTGCCTATTTCAATTTTGCAGTTCACGCTAATAGAACAATACAGAGTTAATATTGCAGTAACTCGGCTCTAGAAGTGCCCTTCTAATGAAAAACAGTGCTGTTTGGGCAAATATTTTCTGGCATCTTTGTATTTCCTTTAACTGGAAACAGGGAAAATGCTGGCTTGGTGTCATAACTATGGGAGACTGTGTTTTCTAACTGAAAACAAATTGTGGAGACAGTTTTCCTAAGAAAAAAAATGAAGGTGGTTAGAAGATATGGAATGGGGTCTTTCTGGGGCTCAAATCCATAGACTGGTTGATTAAAGGACTTCACGTGGTAACAGTCTTGTCTGATGTTATTGTCTAAGATTCAGTCACTTACCCTCCTTTCTGCCTGTTACCTCAGTGGCGAACAAGAGAACATACTGCAGAGATGAATAATTTAGCATCATGAGGATCATGAAACCTGGAAATTTAGAAATGATACCTGAACTCGTAAGTGGATCTAATTGCCCATTACCCATAGGCCAGTTATCCAAATCCCAGATCATCTGCAGCACTGTCTCAGGCTTGCTGTTGTGGACAAATGTGAGTCGAGGCTGTGCTGGGAGCAAGGAGAATGAAACTGGGCCATGGGTGGAAGACCGTGGTAGTCTCAAGAAGAGAGAGAAGGAAACAAAACTGGACGTAAGTCTGAGTTGTGCATCACAACCAAGAGTGCCATGAAGAAAAGGAAGAATCCAGAGACAGGCCATGGGACCAGTGCTGGGGTTACCAGCCTAGCACAGCTTGTCATGGGGTCTGGAACATGCCCGTGGTGGCGGTTAGGAGCCCTAGAGGCAGAGCAGTAGTTCCGATGGTCTTCCGCTGGCTTCCAGTTTTTTGGCCATATACTTTTTTTTTAATGTGTGAGTTGTAATGGGAAACATTTTTACAATATTTAAGAGCCAGGATCAGAATTAATCTCAAGAAGGACACTACTTTTGTCTGAGGAAATACTGATTAGAAGATTACATTTAGAAATGAGATCCACTTAGGTTGAGAAGATGAGATGGTTCTAAGATTTCCTCTAGAAAATGTAAATTACTTTATCCAGGACAGAGAGAATGAAAAGGGAAAAGGGCAGAAGGTAACAGGGAGAAAGGAGCCATCTGGGTGGTATAACACCATGTGGCTCTTAGCTCCGCCTTCTCCAGATCTTCAGCAAACCCACTAAGGGTGTAGGTGTCACCGCCCTCCCTGGAATTTGCAGAAATCTTAGGACTGTGGACTCCTGTGGGCTGAGAAATTGGCAGGATCCCTGCCTGTTCCACCCAGACCTCAAGGGTAGAAAAGTCCCTAGCCACCATCTGGGTAATATACATAGAGAGGTTGTGCTGTGACAGGGAGGGGAAGTAAGTTCAAATAAGCAACTTGTGACCTAGAAATAAATACTTGTATGGAAATGTTTAGTTCAACAGATGATGGAAACCTATAGCCAGTGCTTAGTTTCTCATTGTCAGTTGATTTTATTTGTCCAGGTTTATAGGTAATCAGATCTTCACTATATACTGTATATATTTTAAGTAATTTTTTGTCTATTTCAAATTTCTTTTACTATATTACATACTTGCCATTTCCTTTTTTCATCTCCTTTGTTACAGTGTATTTATCAACTGCATTTATGTGCATAGATGCTCTGGGTTTTACAGAGTAGGAAGTGTCACTACACAATAATGCAATTGCTTTTACAGGCCATACATAATATGTCCACACATCTTTATTTCATAACCCTGTCATAAGCATGATATATTTATGCCACAGTTCATTTGTCATGTGATTGAGGGCAGCTTCCAAATGTATATACAATACAAAAGATCAAATAAATTGCTGACTGTCTCCAGAGTCTCCATCTCCAGAAGGCCCCAGTCTGGCAGGGGAGGGAGACATGGAGACCGACATAAACCAGGGAAGGACACGTCTTAAGAGAAGCAACCTGAAGGCATAGGGACGATCAGTGTCAGTGTCGGTATCTGAACAGGGAAACGCTGCTTCTGGCTTGGAAGACTCATAGTGGCGGTGGGATTTGATCTGGGTCTGGACGAGTCAGCAGGATTATGGATACTGTGGGTTACAAGTGGGTGGGTGGACAGAGAGGATTCGAACAGGAGCTGCCGAGCACAGGGTCAGTGATGGGACAGCCAAGGCGTGCTGTGAGGGCAGCACAGGCAGGTGGCTAGAGGGTGGGTTTCTTAGACAGAGTGGAAGGTAAGGTGGGAAAACTGAATTCATTTCTTTTAGAAATCAGGACATTCACTGTACAAGTTACAGTTTGCTGAGAAAAACCTGACCTGTGAGGTTCCTGAAATGCAAGGTTTATTGCAGAAAGCAGTGCATTTTTCTGCAATACCAGAACAGAATAACTTTATATTTTGATGCAAGGTAACAACAGCAAAATATTTCTGTGATAGGCTAATCCCAAAGCAGCTATGGGGTAAAGGTACCAGAACCCTGCTTTTATAATTGAGTCAGTCAGCCTCTTCCTTATATTAATTATACCATTGTTAATAAATTCTTACCTTTACTGTTTGAAAACAGTTTGAGGCGGACAATTTCTATTTAATGAATAAAACCCAGTGAGCCTAAAACAGCTTTTTAAATCTAAGATATGATTACAAAATAAATAAACTGAATATTAAAACAACAAAGCTGTAGATACTGTTAAATTCTCCTCGGCATTCAGCACTTGGCTAGAACATAATAAATAATATATTAGTCTTAGTTTTTCCCTCAATTTGTGAGTCAATAATTTCTATTAACAGTTCATAAAATGGCATGTCAACATGAAATGGAAGTACATTTTTTTATAGAACACTGAAGTAATAAAACCTCCACTGAAGTCAAGAAAGCAAATTAGCTATTCTGCCTTCTCCAACCTTGATACTGAAGAAAGATTAACTCTTTTGGTATCACAAATGTTTGCTATTTTTTTAAAAACTTGTGAAAGAGAGGCACATAAAAGAGAACAGGCGTGGCCTTCTTTGGCAGGCAAGTGGCAGTAGCCTGAACAGACTTGTTAGACAACCCTCAGTGGAGGGCTTTATAACACGTGGAAACGTTAGATTATATATATTATGACAAAATGGTCTTTCTTTCAGAAGAGCATCTTCTTAAAGCAATCCAACAAAAACATCCAAGTGTTAAGTTTCCAGAAACCTCTGTTGAAATTCCACAGTCCCGAGTGGACTTCATTCATTCAGTCACTCAATACATGTTTATTTATTGCCTCTTGTACGTACAGGAAATTGCACTGGGGGCAGTGGTCTCTTTAAGCACTGATTTCTCTAAAAATAAGTATTTGTATTAATGAGTACTTTTTCATTTTTTATAAACTATTTCTTATCGATGTATTTCTAGTAATCATTTGAGCTTTGTGTTAAAGGGACATGATTTTTTGGTGGTCGTTTCAATGATACTTTGGCATTCCTTTCAGTCCTGGAAAAGACTCATGAAACAGGTAGAAAGGCTTTCAGAGAGGGATGGGGGAGGTAGGAGGCAGAAGGCTGGGGACTCGGAGCTTGAGAGTGGCCCAGTAAAGGTACCCATTGAGGAACACAGGGGAGAAATAAATTGCTGTGAACTGGGCAGGGAGGGCAGAGGGCAAGGGCATCAGGGACCAAAGGCACCTACAGGCATAAGGTAGCAACAGAGAGCAAAAGCTCCAAGGTCAGAGGGTCAAATCCCAGCCTTACCACATATTGACTCTGTAACCTGGAGAAGTTGCTCACCCTGTCCACACGTCTGGTTCCTCGCATATAAAATAGAGAAAATAATTGTATCTACTTCATAGAGTTTGGGAGGAGTTAACAAATATAAAGTTCTTAGAACAGTGTCAGGCACATAGTAAGTGTTCGATTCCTTTTCGAGGTGTGCATTTAGTATACTTACACCATTGTTCAGTTATCACCTCTATCTTGAAAGAAGCAAACTTATCTGTATGTTCCTAGAGGTAGCACCTGTGTGATTCGTTCACACTGCTCCCAGGTGATGACAGGCATTCCCCGCCTACCAACAAGGTGTTTAGTCATGTTTTATTAAATGTGTTGTACAGGCTCGTAGCAGGTGAAGGCAGCTAAGAAGATCTTGCTGAAATGTAATTATATTGTCTCCTTGGACCCCCGAAATTGCTCTTCATGTCCGCTGGGTGTCTTGCTGGTCCAGGTAGTCTGGAATGAATTGGTGCAAGGAGGCTTTGAGAGGCTGCTGGTGGCTGCGCGACGTCAGCATTCCTGATAGTAGGTTAAGGGTTTTAAATTGAGGAGTTCAGGCCCGAGGAAAAAATAACACTGCAGTTATTCTGAATTATTGAGGAATTAAATGGCCCTACTATGAGAAAAATGTTAAATCAGTGGAGTTTGCAACTGTAGGTTCACACACTAGCTGTTACTGTAACCATTTTTGGATAGAAAGAGATGCATAGGGAGTAGATTAAGGCTTTGGGGTCCAAAAGCCTGGGCTTTGAGTCTTGCATATAATACTTAACTAGTTGTGTGATGATACCGTATTTACATTGTCTGTCTTTGTCTCCTGGTTTGGGAAATGGCAATATTAAAAGCATCCACCTCGTTAGGAAGCTGTAAGGATAGTTTCTAGAAGTGGCAGGTAACCTACCACATTATCTGCATAGCAGAACACTGGAAACTCACTGAATGTCCAATAATAGGTGAGTGGTTGAATCAATTATGGAATAGCCATATGATGTTCATTAGTTTAACAAGCCATTCCTTAACTGATGTAAAAGTAATTATAGCCAGCTGAGGTCCAAAACTATAAGGAAGTCTTAACTTTGTGGAGTGGAAATAATAATTATAATAACTAATATTTCTGTAGTGCTCATATGCCAAGTCTTATACTCGTAGCTACTCACTAAATGCTCAGAATAGCCATAATAAGGAGCTACTATTATTGTCTATACCCATTTTGCATATGAGGCTACTGAGACACAGTCATATTAAGAAGCATATCAGGCTAGTAAGCGGGCAGGCCAGAGCTAAGATAAAGGAATGTGGAATCTGTGTGCATCCAGGAAGTAGAGTGGATTAAAGATGGCTCCTCCAGGTCTCACCTAACTCTGTGATTTCCTAGATGAATGTAGGGAGACTTGGCTATGTTGCAGATGAGTAAAACACACCATTATTGCTATGTTGGCATAGCAGCATAAGCAGCGAGCCCAAAATACAGATGGAAACTGCCAGGCTCAGAGTGGAAAGCCCTTCAAGTATCAAGACTCATGGCTGATGATTCTGCAAGTTTAATACCCAATTGCAGACCATTTTCTGCCTGCCTGCTCTCCACTGCCTGCCTTTATTGAACACAAACTGTGACTTACTGAAGGAATCCAAGATAAATTTGTAAAACATCATGTCAGGCCCTTTCTAGTCCCAGTGTCCCCTGGTGATTCAAGGTTGGGGTCTAAAAAATAGAACAGAACAGAGAAGAGGAAGCAAACAACCAACCTGCCACAGATACATGGAGAGGGAAGGAGAGATTTTTTGTTTAAAAGACAGAAAGCTGAGAAACAGTTATTTGATCCCTGCTGCTTGAGGGACAGTAGGGAAAGAAAGGTATTTTTGTGATCACTCTTCAGCGTTCCCTGTGTGGTTTGGTTCATACAGTCACAACAAAAACCCAAGCTCTAATAATACATTGCCACCGACCACAGATACATTGCAAGCATTATGCACAGTAGTAACTAACATTCAGCTTCCTTTTTGATTACTTCCAGGCCTGTGACATTGAGATTGCTGCACACTTCTTCCAACCTCAGAAAACTGAGAGTCAACAGCACACATCTCATAATCACGTGCTGACATAGAAACTGCAAGGCATCAGTGTCATTTATCTGTATTCATTTATACTTAGGGTGACAGGGTGAATGAGCACCATATTAGGAGTCCAGAGACATGGGTTTTGTATGAAATTGAACCATGTCACTGACTAGCTGTGACTTTGAGCATGTCAATTAATCTCTAAGAGGCCTCTGGTTTCCTTTCTGTTAAATAAGGATAGAATTTTGGGGCCAGAAGCCCTTTAACTGGATATCCTGTGCTGAGGCATCAATGAGTTCTGGGTAATAGTTTCAAACAAAAATGATGTTCATCAGATTCCACTGAATAAAATCAGAGCAGGAAGGTCAAGAAAGTGGCCACTGCAGATGCTTGTAATCCTCACCCATCAACTTGGGGTGGCTCTGATAGTTCTCCAAGTGGTCCACACATCCCCTTTGCTAAAAGGACAAGTGAGAATGTTAATGTGCATCTGAACATTTTAAATGCCAAATGCCTCTGTTGTTTTTATCCTTAAAATTCTCTCTACAGTATCATCATTATCAAAGTTAGTCAATCACAGCATTATTGGGAAATGTAAACATGAATGTTTTTTTATCTCACCTAAGTCTTTACTGCATTAAATTTTATTCTACTGCAGCATGCTGGAAAATTTGTGGTTTGTAGGTTTGGTCCACAAGTGCATACTTTTTAAGCAAACTAACGTGCTGTGAAAGGACAGTTTTCAGTGTTTCCCTCTACTTGTACTTGTGGGTGCCCTCCCCTGGTGACTGCACCAAGCCCCACAAACCATCACAAATGGACTGCTTGCCAAATACCTGTTTCCGTAATCAGGAAGCCACGTATTACTGACGGCTTTATGTGTACAATGTCTCATGCAGAAAGACTCGAGAAATACGTATCTGGATTTCTAGAAAGAATTTTTTTTTTCACGAAAGTCTAACAAATTCATGTAGTCAGATCTCAAGAACGGAAGTGTGTTTGGTAGCTTGGGCCTGCTGCCCACACGGGCTCTGTGTGTCTGCTCTGAAAGACCGAATATCATCCCAATGGACCTGACCTAGTTGAACATAAATACACCATTGAGGAGCGACTGGCTTCAGAATTAATAAAATTTATAAATAAATAGGATGGCCTTGCAGAGAGGCTAAACTTGAAATGCCTCTTAATTCTTTTATAGCAATGCAGTGGGTTTTAGCTGCCCCAATGATGACAAAATCTATGAAGCAAAATCGTTTTGTAGAAAGCAGTCAGATAATTCGGTTAGAAAATGAATTTAACCACAAAAGGGTCATAATATATTTTTATTTAATTATATTTCTATTTGATTATACTTTTGGTAAGGTGCTGATCCAGCCAAAAAGGTAATGGTTTGGGCTGGTTTTACCACCCAAGCAACTTGGCATTTTCTCTTTCAGTCTGTAAGGTCTCTGAGTACATGTGAATGTGTTTGTTAAAGCATCTCGATTTCAGTTTTGTTGTTCAAAGAGTATATATCCCCTGGTCTCTCTGACCTGTCCTAGGAACATAGCTCAATTTGCATCTGATTTGATCATTTATTAAAATTTAGAGAGGCAGGCAGCCTCTGTGCTCCTGGACCTGCCAGTGAAACCCATTACAGAACCAGTCACCAAAGAGGGTATCCAGCCCCAGAGCCTGGAAAAGAAGCACTGAGATCCTCACTTCACTTGAGGGTATTATTCAGAAAAGAGGACTATTTTTCACTTCTTGCCACCTAAGCTGAATTTTGAGAAGTAACCATAAAAGATGAAGCTGAGAATTATAATTGGAGCCTTTGGTATAGACAAATTGTACTGTGTCTTTTGATTTTTGATTTTAAATTCTCCCTAAAAGGTCACTGGATACAAAGACGGTCTCTGAATTTATTGAAGGGAAAGCTGCAAAGCTGTTACATGCAGCTATATATATGCCTATTTGTATCTCACACTTTCTTTTGTCAACCAGTAACACACAGGCAAAATGGAATTCAATCTAAGAATTTCTTTACCATCTTTTAAAGATTTTCTTCAAGGACTTATTTCCAAATAAGGAGGAAAAATACTTCCAATTTTCAAAAAAGACAATCCCCCCAACATTTGTCTCATCATAGAGTATGTTTTCTGCATTCAGAGTGGCAAGTGTTAGAAGTAGATTTCAGGTTGTGGTTCAACTGGTGAATGTGGACATAAGGCCATTAGGCGTCTCTTCAGCTCCCCCCTACCTGGGAAGTGAATTTTTGACATGGTGGCCTTTGCTACATTCACACTGAAACAGCTGTTGCTATAACTGCCCAGCTATTGCTATAATATAAACAGGGCCATGGCTCCAATGTGAGCCCAGTCTCAGTGCAACAATGCATTTTGAGCTATTTTGTGGAAAACTAATTAGGTCTCCACCTGGTGTCTGGGTTTTGGATTCCTGTATGGGCCAAGGGGGCATCATGAAGTTGCCCCAGGTAATGGGGTCTCTGGGCCCTTCTTATGCAAAGAGGCAGGTAAGTACAGTGTGTTAAGAGCCAGGCTACTTGGGTATGACTCCTGAGTCTGCCAGTTGGTCGCTGTGGAATTCGCTTAATTTCTTGGGGCATAGTAGTCTCATCTGAAAAAAAAATGTGGAAAGAGTAGTGTCTGATTCATAGGGTATGAAATGAAGTTGTTTTGTAGAAGGTGGTTGGCTTGTTCACATTTTACAAGATTAGAAAATGTATTTAAACCGAAAAGGAGATCATATGCAGAGCCTGATGTTTTCTGTAAGATGGTGATCCACCCTAAGAACTGATCATTGGGGCCACTTTATATACAGTCATGTGAGTGAGATAAATTAACTTTTGTAAAGTGGTTAGAACAGTGCCTGGCTCGTGGTAAACATTTTGTTAGTGTTGGCTATCGTTAATATAAATTCAGGGATATGCTTTGCACAAGCAAAAAGGCTCTTACAGAAGTCATAATTGAAAAATAAAATAGTAAACAAAATGTTTAAGCTTTTTAAAATTTCACTTGTCAGGCATGGTGCTAATCATATTATATTCATTATCTTGTTAAAGACTACAGGATTCCTTGGGCGACATATATTTTAGTCTGTTAATAAGAAAAACAACAAACACTGAAGTAGTAGATATTTTCTATTTTTATATGTATTCCAAATATACATTAATATAAGTTACATTCCATTTCTCAAATGTTTCTCAAATACCACACATACCATCATGCTGCACTCCTTTCAATTTTTAAAAAAGGCCTTTTTCATCTAGGAATTTTTGTTAGTTTGTTTACCCATTTTGAGAGGTAGATAAGACAGGTCTTGTTATTTTAAATTTACAAAAGAGGATGCTGAAGTTTTATGTAACCGAGGTGAAGTGACCATCCAGGATAGCAGAACAT